ATTAATTGAAACGATAAATAACTTCAGCAAACTTGCACACAGACCACCAGCATCTTATACAATGCCAATAAAATCTAGCAGGAAGAGCTAAAATGAGAAATTTCATTTAAAATAATACCGTGTTTATGAAATATTTAGGAGTCTACCTTCAAAGATACACACAAGGACTATATGAATATAGCTACAAAGCACTCAGACAAATATAGACAAACCTAAATAATTGGAAAAACAGGAGGAGTCAACATAATAAAAACAACAATACTACCTAAATTGATTTACCTATTTAATTCCCTGTTAAACTACCAAAAGATAGCTTAATAGAACTATAAAAAATAATAACAAAATCTCATGGAGGCAAGGAAGGGCAAGAACCTTAAAGGAAAATCATGAAAAGGAGTAGGAACAAATGGGTCCTAGCAGTACCAGATCTCTAACTATACTGCACAGCAGTAATCTTCAGAACAGTTTGGTAGTGGCTGAAAAATAGATCATTCAGTGAAACAACTCAGATATACAATATACAGAAGCAAATACCCTAGTGTTCACTAAATACCAAAAGGCCAGCTACTGGGAGTAGGACTTGCTTTTTAATTAAAAAAACTGCTGGGTAAATTGGACAGCATTGTAGTAGAAACTATAGTTAGACCAGTACTTCACACCTTATAGCAGGATAAGTTCCAAATGGACGCATACAGAAAAAAGTTACCTATCATATCTGGGGATTGAAGAGAAATTCATGAACAAATAAGGGAGAGAGATGATTACAAAAGATGAAATGGATAATTTCGATTACATAAAATTAAAAAGTTTTTTTTTTCATAAAGCCAAGGCAACTAAAATTAGAACCAGGTAGGAGACAGAAACAAAATGGTGAAGAAATACAGTAAGCTCACCTCCATCCCAGATATAGGCAGAGCCCAACATTGCCGTCAAGTCCAAAGTCAGGAACCATGCAGGAAGAAAGTGCAAGCAATAACAACAACAAAAACCCCATCGTAAAAAGCTGTTACAGTGAGAGGGACACTTACAATACAAACCCAGAAGAAGATAATGACTCCAAAATAGTTACAAGTAAAGCTTCAGAGAAAAACAGCATGGAACCAATTTCAACTAGAACTCCTCAAGTAAATGAAGCAGATGTTTAAAAGAAGAGTTAAACATGTTTTTGTTAAATAAATGGAATAAGAGTACCAGAGGAAAAAATAGAAAAGAAATGAGAGCTGTGGAAGAAAGAATTGGAAAGGGAATTGATAGCTTGGCACAAGAGGTACAAAAGCCTTAACTAAGCAACAAACTCCCTGAAAATTAGAATGTATAAAAATAGCAGCCAGTGACTTCATAGGACAACAAGAAATATTAAAACGAAGTCAAACAACTGAAAAATAGAAGAAGAATTGAGATATAGCAAAAAAAACTGACCTGGAAAACTGATCAAAGAGAAAGAATTTAAGAATCATTGAACTGTTTAAATGCCATGACCAAAAAAAAAGAGCTTAGACGTTATATTTCAAGAAATCATAAAACTGCCTAGGTCTCTGAGAACCAAAGAGAAAAGTAGAAATAGAAAGAATCCACTAATCACCTGAAAGTAACCTCAAAATGAAAACTTCCGGTAACATGATAGCCAAAATCCAGAGTTTCCAGGTCAAAGAAAAAATGCTGCAAGTAGTCAAAAAGAAAGAATTCAAGTACTGAGGAGCCACAGTCAGGATCTCGCACACACACACACACACACACAACACACACTCCACACATAGAGTCAGGATCACCCTCCACTCTCAAGGAATGGAAGCTTGGAACACAGTTCTCCAGAAGGCAAAAGATCTAGGCTTTCAGCCAAGTTTAACTAAGTCCATAAAGCTTGATATAATCCTCCAGAGGACAAAATGGGTCTTTAATGAAATAGAGGATTTCCAGCATACCTGATGAAAAGACCAGAGTTGTGTAGATGTATTTGATGTTCAAACACTGGGGTCAAGAGAAACATAAAAAAATAAATACAAGTGAACGATCATAAGGATTAAACAAGGATAAATTCCTTCTAATATGGGGAGATGATACATATCCCCATCATCAGAAGTCATAGGGGGAGTCTAATTAGACAGAAGACTTAAGAGTGTTTCTCTCATGACTTGATCTCACAAGAAGAATGGAAAGGGAAGGGAAGAGGAATACACTGGGAAGAATATTGCACGCACTTTCAGATGAAGTCACTCTATTGTCAATTTTGCTGAATTGTTTTACTGTCTTACAAGAGATTCTACATAAGTTGGGGTGATTTGTAAGTGTCTCTAATATAAAAATAAAATGTGAATAAAAATAAAAACAAAAAAATGAGTTTTTAAAAAGAAGTGTCAGTTACTCCTCATTGCCTTTAGGATAAGATAAAAACTCTTCTTTTCGCTTTTTAAAGCCCTTCCCGATATGATTACAGTAGGCCTTTCCAGGCTGATGACACATCTTCATGTCCTCTATGATTCAGTCAGCCTGAGCGCTATGTTCCTGTACACCACAGTACATCGCCTATCTATGTCCCTTTACATAGGCTGTCCGCCATGTCTGGAATGTGCTCTCCCCAAACTTCTACTTGTAGGAATCCCTTCCTCCCTTCAAAGCTTAGCCCAAGTTCTGCCTTCCCTAAGAAGCCACTCCTGATTCCCCCAGTTGTTGGTACCCATCAGCTTTCTGAATATTTACTTAGTGGATGTTCTGTCTTTATCGGCATATATATTGTATCCCCCTTATAGATTGTAAGCTCCTTGAGACAGGTACTCTCAGTTTTGCATCTCCAGCAGTTAGCACAGTGCTTGATACATAGTAACAAATGTTTATTGTTTAATTGATTCCCCACTCAACCCACATTCCCCCAAATATCCCTATCTGCTCTAATATATTATGTGTTCCCAATTATTTACATGTTACCTATGCCACTAGACTGTAAGCTCTTGCGGGTAGATACTATTTTTGCCTTTCTTTGTATACTAAGTGCCCAGCACACAGTAAGTATTTAATAAATGCTTATAGATTGATTAGTTGGTTGAGGATACTACCACTTCTCAATCATCTACATTTGGATATTACCCTTGAGCCTACCCTTTCTCCTACTCCTTATATTCAGTCAGTTGCAAAGTCTCTTCATTTCTATCTCCATAACATCCCACCCCCTTTCTTCTCTTTCCATTCCTTTCTGTAAATCTCCTTTACATATCTGATAGAATACTGTTTCTAAGTCATAACTCTGACAATGTTACTCCCCCTGTCAGAAACCTTCAGTGGCTTCTTATTACATTGAGAATAAAATGCCGACTCTTCCACCTAGCATCAAAGGCACTCCACAATCTTCCTCTTAGAGGCAGTTAAGTGTTACCACTGGAGTCATGAAGATCTGAGTTCAAATCCAGCCTCAGACACTTAACTAGCCGTGTCACCCTGGGCGAGTCCCTTCACCTTGGTTTGCCTCAGTTTCCTCATCTGTAAAATGAGGATAATTGCACCCACTTTGGACTGTTTTGAAGATCGAATGAGATAGTAATTGTAAAGTACTTAACACAGTGCCTAGCATGTAGAATGCTTCTTTCCTCTACTCCTCCCCCCAACTTACCTTGCCAGCCTTATCTCAGATTACTCCCCCTCATGCTGTCTACATTCCAACCAAACTGGGCTGCTAATTGTTCCCTGAGCTCAGCATTCTGTTTTCCACCTCTTTGCATTTGTACAAATCATGCCCCATTCTCTGCCTCTCTGAATCCTTATCCTCCTTCAAGGCTCAGCTCAGGTGTCCTCTACTAAGTGAAACCTGCCCTGATCCCCCCCAGTTGTTAGCACCCTTGGCCTCCTCAAGTTAGTTTATATGTCTGCTCCAATGACTTACCTGTGTACATGTCACATCCATCCAGGAATTGTATGCTCTTCAAGGGCAGTGACGACTTGCTTTTTCTGTCTAAGACAGTGCCTTCTTACATGGTAAGCAGCTAGCTGCATGGTGGATAGAGTGGTGAACTTGGAATCAGGAAGGCCTCAGTTTGAATCTGCCTCAGACACTAGCTGTGTGCCTCTTGGCAAGTCATTTAACCTCTTTATTTCTTCTTCTGTAAAATGGGAATAATAAGAACACACGTCACGGTGGTGTTTTGAGGATCAAATGAGATATATTTCAAGTGCTTTGCAAACTTAAGATATTAATATTATTATTAATAAGAAGTTCTGTTGAAGTTGTTAAATAGTCAGTTCATGCATTCATCTTAGCCAAATGACTGAATGCATAGTAGACTCCACAAAACTGCCCAGAAATTTCCAAGGCTTCCAAAATTTCTTTAGTCACTTTGGCAGTGAAAGCCAAGTTCTTGTCTAACCCTCCATAGGAGTAACTCACCGCTAACAGAAGAGATCCCAAAGGATTTGAGCACTATCAGCCTCATCCTCCTTCCCTTTCCTGTTGATACTACCTTTATCACCACTACCACCACCACCACCCCGTGGGTATAGGGATCTGCTGCCACCAGAAACCACTTCCTATGGTTATGGTAGTATGTGCTAAAGAGTTTTTGCCAAGAGGGACTCTCCTACCCTAATACCAGTAAATACTTTCAGTGCTATACCCTTTGAACTACTTTGAAGATAGTCAGATGATGGCATTGGTATTTCACTGCAGATTTCTACGTCCGATTTAACTCCTTAGCTATGATAAAAAAAAAATTTAATAAATGTTTTTAAGGAAATATGTGCATAGAAAGAGCTGATACTTTACTTAATTGCAAAATGAAATTCAGTGGTTTGATACACTTGGGTATATATAATAATCCACATTGAGACAACATCTATTTGAGCTGACAATTTAAATGCCTCACAAATTAAATACATTAGTGTTTATACATATCTTGTTCCATATGACATTATGCATTTTTCTTAGTGTGTGTGTGTGTGTGTGTGTGTGTATTATATGCTTCATATGTGCTCCCAGAAAAAAAAATGCACGTATTCTCATATTTTGGCTCTCATAGGAAGTAATTGAAGCCATTGATCGCAGCGCCTTCATCAACTCTGACCTGCCTATCATAATATCTATAGAAAATCACTGTTCATTGCCTCAGCAACGAAAAATGGCAGAAATTTTCAAGGTGAGTGCTAAGTTAAATGGCAGAAGAATATCATGACACCCTTCTTGTCAATATCACTGAGATTTTTCCTGAATTAAGTAGCTATACACAAAACTTACACACAGTTTGCGGTATCTTAGAACCCTAAAAACTGCCACAGGTGGGATAATAATTGGAACTACACTGGAACTTTTCTTGACTGTGACCAAGAGTTTGGAATGATCTGAGGAAATTCAGAGTAGTCTTGCAATGTCTTATTGCCAGTCAGAATGCTCAGTAGGCAAAGAAGACCAAGACTTTCCCTGTACAGTCTCAGGCTTCTAATATATCCCTAGATGAACCTTTGAAATTTAGAGATACCTAAAGTATCAGGCATGCTAAGATGTAGTCCCTCCATTTGAAGGGAATGGGGAAAGATGGCTAACTTATTATTACTATAATAAATTCTTTAGAACCTAACAAATTTATAAATATGGAATAGGAAAAGAACCCAAATATAGATGCAGTAGGGGTATGCTATGCCCTTGGCTATAGTACATTTACTCCCTGCCTCCTGGCTAACTAACTGGTTGGTCCTACTTGCAGAATCTTTGAAGGTAGAAAGAAGGAAAGAGCTGACAAGATTGGCATTTGACCAAGGGAAAGTAATGTAGTTTAGAAAGGCTGAGGTATAATTTCTTAAGGAGAATACACACAAGAAAGAGAGAAACAACATGCTATCTGCTTAAAACCAGGTTGTGTTTTACCACAACCACCTTCTCTTGCAGTAAGACTTCTAATATTGAGTCTGTGACCTTGAGATGTGAGTTCACATACTGGTAGATTTATGCAACAGCAAGAGAAGCTAGAGGCATGAGAGAACCGTGCCATACATAGAGTGCACAGTGTAGACATGAAACTACATGCTTTTCCCATCTTGCCACTTAAGTTTGTGGTTTGGAGCTCCTGAGTTTTAATTTGCCTGCCAAACCAAAGTAGGTAGTTGCTTGGTCTAGGAAGAAGACATGGTCACCTAAACTCCACAAGTACTTTAATGCATTCACCTTTATTCCTTTTCTTAGTTGTGTGAGCAAACTCTGTTGAAACACAGCAGGGATAGGAAAATAAATGGAAGCACCATGAACCAAGAATCTAATTGGATAAATGCACTCACACAGAAATCCTTAGACTAATGAGACAGGGGCAGAGCTAGGGAAGATAGGTAGCTATCTTTCTGAAAACCATCAAGGGATTGGTATGACCCCAGAACACTATGTGGTGTTCGTTAGAGTACATAATCATAGGAAACGATAGACTGTACTTGAGCCTTACTACTGAATAGGATCAGACAGTTTGATCGGTAGCACACCCTGGTGGTTAAATATCTGAGGATGGGGAGGAATAGAAGGTGGGAAAGGGGAGTTTTATTTTCCTCTTTAGTTTTTTGTCTTTTAGTCCTGTTGCTGGGATGCTGTGGATTTGCAAGCCTTTTAGATTTTTGCTCATAACTGAGTCTCCTAATTGATACTATAAAACACTTGATTCAGTGGAAGCTGGTTGAGAGCTTATGACTGACCGTTCATAAAGAGCTTCTTTCCTGCCTTCCCAGTTTTTTCCTCTTGCTCTTCCTACCCCTCCTGCCAGAGACTCTCAAAAAATTTCTTTCCCTAGTTCTCTGCCAAGAGCTGTTATGGGAAGGCAGCCCTGTACTGAGGCAGATGTGGGCCTTCCACCCCTGTGTAAGCAAAACTAGACATGAGTAACAGAAGTTTACTGTTTGTCTATTTTATATTTCAGAATGTATTTGGAGAAAAACTAGTTGCCAAGTTTTTGTTTGAGAGTGATTTCTCTGATGATCCGATGCTTCCTTCACCTGACCAACTTAGGAGAAAAGTGCTTCTTAAAAACAAAAAGCTGAAAGCTCATCAGACTCCAGTGGATATATTAAAGCAAAAGGTATGTTCTCTACACAAAGAAATTTTTAAAATATTACTACAAACTAGGAACAAAGAACTAGTAGCATTGTTATATTTCATGTGGCCTTTTCTTTGCTGCAGTGAAGCAGTTAATCAAGAGAATAAATTACTAATTTTTGGTTATGTTTTCCCAAATAATTAATAAAGCTAGAACTAGAAATTCTGGAAACTGGGACGAAAGAGGGTGGGGGTAGGATAGAAAGAGCCTAGACAGGCAAAAGCCTTCTCCTGCCCAAAGAGGGAGAGTACAAAAAAAAGTCCCTCCCTGCTCTTGCAATCTCACCAGTATATCCCAGTATGGATGATCAGGTTAAATGCAGTCATATGAGGCAGCCCTTTGGAGGAGGCCTGGGTCAGGATTGTGGGGGGAAGCGGAAGAAACAGGGGGTATAAAGGGAAAGGTAGATACCCTGGTGATAGAAGGTGGGACCCTCATGATGCAGTCACACCAGACAGCCCTTGAGAGGAGGTGGGAGGATGTGGCCGTGGAGTGGGAAAGGGATGAGACCAGGGTCTGCTGGAGCCCCTCAAACTGGCTCACAGAGCCAGTTGTTAAATTTTCAATATGAGCATTTAAACCTTTTAAATCAGCTACAAGTAAGGGCTTGATTTATTGTTTTATTGATTTCCAGATATAAGAAAGTGACAAACAAAATGCTAATAATGCAGATTAAACTTAAAAATGTGCCCCATCTTTTTTTTTTTTGAGAATTAATTGTTGAACATTTATCAGCTCACCACTGGGTGACACCCTCAGGTTTTTCAAGATACCAGGGCACACGGAGAATTGGGAAGGTCTGAGATGGAGTGAAGAAGAATTCTACTACCTCCCTCTTCCTCACTCCCAAGCACATCACCTGTCTACCATATTTGCATTTTGGTTTTCTAAGTTATATTTAGAAAAAACTTCCTGTAATCCACTTCAAAAAATCTTTGTTTTTGTGAAATTTGTTTCCCCTAGAATCTGTTTACTTTTTTGAAATGTTCTATGAAAGGCAATAGCAGAAAAATACCAAAACAGGAAACAGAATTCTTAATTCTAGTCATAGCTCTCCTACCTACTGGCCCTATGACTAGTCACTTACCTTCTGTTGAATCTCAGTCTCCTCATCTATAAAATTGGCAAAATAATAACTGCCTTCCCTCTCCTGAGGGATAATTATAATGATCTGGTAAGAAAATAAACATGAAAACAAAAAAAAGTAAGAAAATAAACATGAAAGTGTTTTGCACACTGGGAAGTATGATAAAACTATAAGGAATTGTTTTTGTTATTTCTTTTATGTGTAAATATTGTGATTACTTGGAGCTTTTAAATGGCCCACATTTACATAATTTTTGACAGTTTGCAAACTGTATCCCCCTAACATCCTTACAGTAAGTAGTAAGAGTACTATTATTTTCTTTCTACAGTTGAGGAAATGGAAGCTCTGAGAAATAAGATGATTTCCCCTTAGCTAGTTAAGGTCAGAACTGGGATCTCAAACACAGGTTTCCCAATTCTAAGTCAGTTGAGTCCAGCACTTGCTGCTATGTGCTGAGCACAGCATGAAGTGTTGAGATACAAAGAAAGACAAAAACAGTCCCTGCCTTCCAGGAGTTTACTACGTAATAGGTAAGAATATGCAGACAACTGTGTATGAACAATATATACAGGCTAATCTAGAGAACATCAGAGAGGAAGCACTGGCATCAGAGGGAATGAAGAAAGGCTCCATGTGGAAGGCAGGATTTTATATGAGACATTAAGGAAGTCAGGAATCAAAGATAAGGACAATGCAGAAAGTTGGGAGTTACAGTGTCTTGTGTGGGCAGCGGCAGAAAGGAGGCCAGTGTCATAGCACCATAGAGTATGTGGAGAAGAATAAAGTGTGAAAACACTGGAAAGGTGGGAGAGGGTCTTTAAAAGTCAAGCAGTTCATTTCATCTTTGATCCTACAGGGGATAGGAGGCCACTGGAGTCTGTTGAGTGGGGGACGGGACGGTGACATAGTCAGATCTGTGCTTTAGGAAGATCGCTTTGACAGCTGACTGGATGATAGACTAGGTGGGAGAGACATTTGAGAAAGGGAGACCAACCAACAGGTTATTGCAATACTTTAAGCATAAGGTGATGATGCCAGGGTAGTGGCAGTGTCAAAAGGAGAGAGGTGTTGTATTAGTAGAATTGATAAGACATGGCAGCAGATTGGATGCGAAGAGTGAAGAGCCAAAGATGACCCTAGATTGTGAGCCTTGGTAACTGGAAGGATGATTGTACCCCCAAAAGTAATAAGGGAATTAAGAAGAGGGGAGGGTGTTTTGGGGGAAGTCATGAAATGAGCAGTTTTGGACGTGTTAAGCTTAGAATGTCTGTTGTCATCAGTTTCTACCCATTCTTCCTAATTCTTCCTGGAACCAAACAGAATAAGTATAATCCCTTTTCCACGCAGCATTGATGACGATGACAATGATGTTGTTATCAAAAAAAATGTGCCAGGTGTTGTGCTGCTAAGCACTTTAAAAATACTATCTCATTTGAGCCCCACAGCAACCCTGAGAGATCAGTGGTATTATTACATCCATTTAACAGAGGAGGATCCCAAGGCAGACAGAGGTGAAGTGACTTGCCCACAGAGCTATTAAGTGTCTGAAGCTAGATATGAACTCAGGTCTTCTTGACTTCAGGCCCATTGCACTATCCACTCTATCTACTAGGCCACCTAGCTGCCTATAAACAGCAGCCCTTCAAATATTTGAAGACAATTATTTTCCTGTTTTCTCCAACTAATTTTCATATGGTATGAACTCAAGATCCTTTACTGTTCTGATTGTTCTCTTTTCTGAGCATTCTCTAGTTATCAGTGTCTTTATTAAAATGTAATGTTCAGAGCCAAGATGGTGGAGTAAAAGCAGTGACTTGCCGGAGCTGTCCCCCAGACCCATCCAAATACCTGCAAAAAATGGCTCTGCACAAATTCTAAAGCAGCAGAACCCACAAAAAGACAGAATGAAACAAATTTCCAGCCCAAGGCAACCTGGATGGTTAGTTGGGAAGGTATATCGTGCCGGGCAGGGAGAGGAACGCAGTTTGGCATGGGTGTGCAGGCAAAACAGGCCTCAGCAAACCTGGAGCAGCCCTCAGAGGACTGAATCATGGGCAGCTGTGGCAGTTTCCAGACCTTTCAACCCACGAATGCCAAAGACAACTTAGAAAGTCAGTAGGAAAAGTCTGTGACTGCTGTGAGAGAGAAGCTCCATCCCAGCCCAAGTCCCCGAACTTGGCCCTGGGGTGGCAGCTGCTTCCAGGGCTTCCAGCCCACAGACTGAGAGGGAATCAAGTAGCTGATCAGAGGGTGATTGTAGGGATCTCTTTGCTGGTACAGGATTCGCTTGCTTTGCCTTTGTTTGGATCTGGGTCACAGTTGTGGGTGGTGGTCTTGGGGCGAGGAGGAGTGCTGGCGTGGTGTAGCTTATAGTCTGCATAGTTCCAAGGCAGAAAAGAGTGCTTGTGGTCACTCATAGACCAGACCACAGGCCAGGGAAGGAGTAAACACCTCACTCTTTATCATACCACCTTGGAGGAATTGAAAATTTATAGGTCCCTAGTAGTATCTCTGAAAACAGTTACACAAAACCCCTAAAGCTTGGAACAGTACATTCTCCACACTGGAAGCATACCCCTACCTTAACAAAGAGTTTATAACTCAAGTAATTGGCTGGGATCATGAGCAAACCTTGCAAAAAAAGTCAAACCATAGAATCTTTCTTTGGTGACAAAGAAGATTGAAACATACAACCAGAAGACAACAAAGTCAAAGTTCCTACATCCAAAGCCTCCAAGAAAAATATGAATTGGTCCCAGGCCATGGAAGAGCTCAAAAAGGATTTTGAGAAGCGAGTTAGAGAAGTAGAGGGAAAAATGGGAAGAGAAATGAGAGTAATGCGAGAAAATCATGAAAAACAAGTCAACAGCTTGCTAAAGGAGACCCAAAAAATACTGAAGAAAATAATACCTTAAAAAATAGCCTAACCCAAATGGCAAAAGAGGTCCAAAAAGCCAATGAGGAGAAGGATGCCCTAAAAAGAAAAATTGGCCAAATGGAAAAGGAAGTCCAAAAGCTTACTGAAGAAAATACTTCCTTAGGAGACCCAAAAAAAACTGAAGAAAATAACACCTTAAAAAATAACCTAACCCAAATGGCAAAAGAGGTCCAAAATGCCCTAAAAAGAAAAATTGGCCAAATGGAAAAGGAAGTCCAAAAGATTACTGAAGAAAATACTTCCTTAAAAATTAGAGTAGAGCAATTGGAAGATAGTGACTTTATGAGAAATCAAGACACTGTAAAACAAATCCAAAAGAATGAAAAATTAGAAAACAATGTGAAATATCTCATTGGAAAAACAACTGACCTGGAAAATAGATCCAGGAAAGAGAATTTAAAAATTATTGGACTGTCTGGAAGCCATGATCAAAAAAAGAGCCTAGACATCATCTTTCAAGAAATTATCAAGGAAAACTGCCCTGATATTTTAGAACCAGAGGGCAAAATAGAAATTGACAGAATCCACAGATCTCCTCCTGAAAGAGATCCCCAAAGGAAAACTCCTAGGAATATTGTAGCCAAATTCCAGAGTTCCCAGGTCAAGGAGAAAATATTACAAGCTGCCAGAAGGAAACAATTCAAGTACTGTGGAAACACAATCAGGATAACACAAGATTTAGCAGCTTCTACATGAAAGAACCCAGGGCATGGAATATAATATTCCAGAGGGCAAAGGAGATAGGATTACAACCAAGAATCACCTACCCAGCAAAACTGAGTATAATCCTTCAGAAGAAAAAATGGTCATTCAGTGAAATAGAGGACTTTGAAGCATTCCTGATGAAAAGACCAGAGCTGAATAGAAAATTTGACTTTCAAATGCAGGACTCAAGTGGAACATGAAGAGGTAAACAGGAAAGAGAAATCGTAAGAGACTTATTAAGATTGAACTGTT